GTGTGTGTTGTCAGATTCGCTATACACTCAAAAAAAGCATGACTGTGCCGAACAGACTGTTTCGTCGGACTTTCACCGACTCATCCATCAGGAGGTTGAACCCCGTGTGTGTGTGTGTCTTCCTGCGTCTGTGTGAATGTTTGTGCGTCCACGTGTGTCTGTGCCGCTTGTCCTCGATCCCTATCTCATCAGCTTGCCCACATCAAACAACACAGCTCATGTGGGTATATGCGCATATCTTTGTGTGTGTGCTAGAGAGAGAGAGAGAGAGAGAGAGAGAGAGAGAGAGAGAGAGAGAGAGAGAGAGAGAGAACTCACCGTCGACAGCCCTCAAGCAGTACGTCTCATACGTGTATGTCTATGCACACCACAGTTTTGTCACGTACAACTGCTGGCGCGGGGTGTGAGTTGATTTCGATTTCGTATCCTTGTATTGTATAAAGCACCATCGCTGGACAAAGCGCCAAGGCTCACCGGCCCCGGCCCGTTGTCCCCTTACCTGCTGCTGGTGCCGTGAGGGCCCAGCAGATGGGCCCGGTAGACACCCCTGCCGGTGCACATCCCACGGGCGGGCTCGGTTCTTCCCTGCCACAGAACTACCCCTCTTCCCCCGAACACAACGTGACTGCATTCCAAAGAAAGATCGCTGGTATACATTGAGAATCAGGGCCAGATCCCACTAGCCCCTATTGTTCATTTCTGACCGTTGATCTTCGCAATCGAGGGTGAAAAATGAATAATCCAGGGTCATGGGATCTGACCCTCAGGGTGCGTCAGTTCGGGGGACGACGGTAAGTGGGACATAGTTGAGGCCCACAAGAACTATGTTTCCTTTTTTTGGGAAAATTGCATCTGTACCCCACTTAAAGATGGGAGTACCGGCTATACCCAGTCCCAGCGCCAACTTGCGTCTATACCCAGAAAACAGCTGGTGGAAATTGTTTGCATGCCCAGGACGAGGTGGACCGAGGCAGGTTGGTACCGCAAAATTGCGGTTATAACCAGTTACCGGAATGCACAATTTATGGACATACCCAGGCAAAATTATGGGCATACGCGGGACCTGTACCAAATTGCATGGCAGACCACAAAATTCTGCTCATGCCCAACACGTGGACCATAACCACGTGGACCGTTGTGGCCCAGCAGCTGCTGGGTATGAGCATAATTTGAGTCATAGGGTACTCGGGTATATGAGTAATTTGGCCGGTTCACCTCAGTCCCGGGTATGCCAATAATTTTGCTTGGGTACGTCCATAATTTGTGCATACTGGTAGTTGGTTATAACTGCAATTTTGTGGTACCAACCTAGGTCCACCTCAGTCCTGGGCATGCAAATAATTTCCACTGGCAGTTTTCCGGGTATAGGTGCAAGTTGGCGCTGGGAATGGGTATAGCGGGTATTCCCATCCACCAGTACCTTTGCCGCTTGGAAAATAGCGGGCCTCGGGTAGGCATCCAACCTTTGCAGCGGCCGAAACGAAACGACGGCCGCCGATCAAATTTATCAATGGCAGTCGTCGTCGGGCCCGACCTCCGAAAATTCAGGCGCTTGAGAAAACTGCCAGTTTTCCCTATTTTCCCACGCGGGAAAGGTACTAGTGGTTGTGAGGTACAAATGCAATTTTCCATTTCTTTTTTTTTTTTTCCCTTTGTTCTTTTGAAAGACTAAGCCCGCGCATTTTGCCAGTAGTTGCACCTCCCATCTACTTCCCCCACACACCACGGTCATTGACCTCCCTCAAACGCGGCCCTAACTCAGCGGAAAGCATAGTTTCGGCCAAAGGGGGGGGGGTTAAGTAACAGCAGTGTCTACGGCCAGCACTCTCCCACACACCACACACAACCCATAGAGACACACAGGCACACCCGTGATGGCCAAAGACCCAACCAATATTGAACAGGGTCACAAGTGGTCAACGGGAATTGAACCCACGACCTCATGAATGCCATTTGCATAACCAATTGAGCTTGGTTTTCTCTTTTCTGCTTGCACAGCCTTTCAATAATATATATGACACTCGTTTGGGCGAGGGACACGCCTAGACTCGTAAACCGAACCCTAAACCCAAGTACCTAGAATGAAACATGGGAAGTGGGGGAAAGGGTAGGCAGGAGGGAGGGGATAATGGTTTCTTACTTGCTGGGTTATGCCATGAGGTTAGGGTATGGCAAGATCCAAGATTATTCGACAGGGTGAAGGGGAGACTGATAGGGCCCATTCGGTTGTCAGTTTTGGCAGGTGCTTATCATAATTGTGTAGAAGGGGGGCAACCACATAGTACGTTTCCTAATCATTTTTCGAACACGTGTCATGCATGCATGCATGCATCTGCTGTAGGGCGTGATGTACCAGCGAACAATTTTGTTGGAAATCCATCCGGCCAAAACAGCCCTAGCATAGGACCCTTTTGCCTGGATGGATTTCCAAGGAAGCGACACCCCGACCAGGCAAAAAGGCCCTAACACTCATTTCACCTTGATGGATTTCCAGTGAAATGGCACCCCCGGCAGGCCAAATAGGCTAAACAGCCCTAACATGCAACTTGTTTTGCCTGGATGGATTTCCAGCAAAATGGCACTCCAATACATCCCATCTGATGCGACTGCATGCACGACATGCCTTAAAAAAATAGAAAGGAAACGTATTAGTGTGTTGCTTTCCCATCTTCGGCCTCCTTTGAGGGCAATCAATGTTTCCCTCCCTCAGTGTGTTGTTTCCTCATCTTGGGTCTCCTTTTCCAGAAGCGGATGTCAGTTGCATGCCAAAAAATAAAAGAGGGTTGTGAATTTGAGTTGCGCAGCAAAGGAAAAAGGTCGGCATCAACATTTTTTTTTTCCTTTTAACGGTCGCTTCCAACTCTTTTAACCTGGATTTCTCAACCTCAAAAGGTGAGGTGTGGGCACGGCGCGCTCGAGAAGATTGGTTGTGAACCACCAGTTCACGTGAGCCTAAGTTAAGTTTTTATCGGTATACATTGTAATAGTTTTTCGATTCGAGCCTGGGCCAATACTGCAGGCAGAAGGCCAATATGAGAAGTCCCAGTTGGAGGCTCGCGGACCTTGGGAGTAGCTTCGACAACTTAGGCTCGTGTGAACTGGTGTTTCCAAAAGTGCAACTCCCCACCATAAATTGGAGCAAAAAAAAGCAAAAAAAAAGAGCAATCGTTCAAATCATTGTAACTACCACGAATCGACACGAGTGATTTGATGAAATGGAGTGCGCGACTCTAAGCCTCAACCCTACATAGAGCTTCATTTTCTTTTATAAGGACCAGTCTTACAATTATGTTGGTCGTTTGCTCCAAATAAACATTGGTAGTCCTTAGAGAACCTCTACTTATCAAAAACTCATTTCCTGCTCGTTATTAACACAAAAACAAAACAATCTTGTCGACGGATCCCTAAGTCATTAAAACCACATCCTTGTGGTTGCAAACATAAAAGGCAGAAATATAGTTATATCAAGCATTTTGCTTGTTCTTTTTCCAAACTCTATCAGGGCTCTGCTTAGCGGCTGCACATTTTTGTGGGTCATCAAATTTTCAAGCTCGAACAGTCTAAAACAATTTATATTTTCTAATACTCCAAGTTTTGTTTTCGGCCTCCAGTCACAAGGTAGAACAAATCCTATGCTTTTCTAAGATACTTGTTATGCAAGCAGTAGTTGTTGTCCCTCCATTGTTACCCGAAGGACTGGTCCCTATGCTACTAGAACCCCTATTCAGCCCTGTTTCCTAGCGGTTGACTACTCCGAAAATTCCACCAACCTTTACACAAATGTTACACCTAGGGAACCGCAACCTTATGGCTGCAAATATCGTCATTGCAAACCTACAACAACATGAGAGAAATTACTATCATAATAACCGCAAGATAAAAAAAAAAAAAAATCATAATGTGAGGAAGTACAAAATGATCCGTGTACCATAGGTGCAATAATATGGATAAGCAACACATATATTCCACTAGTAATTTACCATGAAGACATGGTACTGCGACTCGAAGGTCAAACAAGACAATGAACGGTCTGGACAATGACGTTGGCAAAAAGACTCAACGGGCAAGGTCACAAGACAAACCAATGTGCCTTAGTACCAATGGCAGGTCCAGATATCATTATCCGACCAGTAGAAGGTCAAAATACCATATGAGGCATTTTGTAAACAATGTTATAAATAGTAATAATGCAAATAACTTTTAGTTGAAGGTAATCTCGCCTAACTCAATTGGTTAGCAAGCAAGTTACATTCAAGAGGTTGTGGGTTCAATCCCCATGAGGGTTTGAAAAGACTTGATGCCAACCAGCAGGGACAATCAATTTGATCCTTCTAATCGATATTAGTAGTGTCTTTGACCAACACATGTATGAGTGTCACTGGGTTGTGTCTGGTGTGTGAAAGAGTGTTGGTCTTACACATTGCTGTTACTTGGTAAAGATGGAGGAAGATGGGAAATGAGGGCACAACTACTGACAAAACGTTCGGTCTTTGCATTAGGTGGGCCCCCATCACCAGCCCCAAACTTGCACCTTATACCACTAGGGCAATGTGCAACATGCAAAATCCCCGTCCGCTTGAGAGGTAACTATACTTGCAGAGATTCCCTGTATAACCTCATGAGTAGTGGCAGGTAGGTAGTGAAAGGTGAATTTAACAGACATTTAGAGGGGGGGGGGGGGGGGAAGGGAAAAATAAATTTATAACAAATTCAAAGATATATATGTATATGTATAGTCACATATCTATGAGCTAAAAAAACGAACTTCATGAAACAAACGGTAAAAATATAAAAACAAGACCACCATGAGGAACACATCGAAGCCATTAATTTTTCTCATTTTTCTTTTGATTCCCCCTTCACCGTGCTTCTCAACTATAAGTCTCTCCATGTTGATGAGGTAGAGTGCAAGCTGCCCGTATCCCCGTGTGTCATAACGACCCACTTGTATGCTGTGAAAAAAAAAGTAGAGTAAAGAGGGCGAAGATAAACGCAGGGAAAACAAATGGAGAGAAGACAAACAAAAAACAACAAAGAGAAATCAGGAAAAATGTTATGCTACCTAGCTCCAAGGTACCTTGGTGTGCACATTGTCTTGGTTTGGGTAAAAGCAGCAGACCAAGGTGCTTGTTATGCTGCCATACAATGCCTTGCCTTCTGTCAAAGTAACACACAAAGGTGCAAAAGTCAGTCGGATGCCCAATCAGGACGGTCGGTAACCTAGTCGTATATATATAAGTCATCATTCAAGTTATACTTATAGTTGCAAATCGATTGTTGATATACACACGATTTGCAATACTAGGACTAAGGGCACAACTCTACTTAATAACAATCCACACGTATTTGAACCACGTATTGTTTCAATAAATTCAAAATGTTCGATGAGTATGAATGTGCCTGCACCCCGTAATGGACAGATGGGTGAACCACACATTCTTGTTTATCCAATATTTTGTACGTATTTAATGATTACGAGGTTTAGGTACATGTTGAATGTTGTCCAATGAAGTTAGGTTGTTAGTCCCAGCATTGCAGCATATATA